CGAACCCGGCAATGGACAAAAGCCGGGAAGAAGAAGGGCAAGAGGAGGAACATTATTCGAAGGCAAGGAATCATGGTTTTGTGTGTTTGGAAATTGTGGGAATAACGAACGAACAGTACAGAAATGGGGCTTTCAGTGTAGTTGTAAGGTCGATGATCGAGTTGTTGCAGTGAAGAAATGACGTGCCAACACAAAGGTATATATAGGTGAGTAGACATTCGATGGACTGTCATTTGTCTTACGTTAGGTGAGATGATGGGTGGGGGGGTTGGGTGCTAAGCTACATTTTCTTGTCTTCTCTTCTCTTCTGGATCCTTTGATGAACCACAACGACTACTAATGCTTCTCTCCCAATCATGTCTTGCATCTTACATAAAGTTTGTTACATCCATCTGTGGACCACTTTTATTTTCTAAGTTAAGTTATTCCATCGGTTTAATTACTTCCTAACCTCATGGAATTTTTTTTTAATTAATTTCTCCTTAATTAGTGAGTCAATTAGATAGATTGAGTGTGTTTATAATTAAGTACATTCAGGTGGGAAGTATATAGCTCTGTTGACTTAGATTATGCGATTTTCTAATTTTGAGAATGTTTTCTTTCTTCCTTCTCCTTTAAAGAATTTGCAATTTAATACAACTTATTGCTAATTATCATTTTCTATAACCACCAAATAATGATATTAAAGTTGTTACAATATATAATACAATTAAATGTTATATCAAAATTCAAACATGAATAACTTGTGCTACAAATTCTAGCCGATGACACCTTTTAGTACAAGGACCATACGCTTAAATTACAGATCTTTGGATACATGTTATGCAAATTGTCATGTCAAAGTTGTGAGTGGAGCCCTTTATAGGTGCAGAAGTCCTAACACCTGTGATATTGTTGAAGACTAATGGAGTGGACTTAACTTAGGCAGGCACAGAACTTGCATTCTAGAATTTTGCCAAGAATGTCTACTCTTTCATATTTATATCCAACAAGTCTTAACTCAGATTGTCCAATCCAACTTAATTTGTTATAATACAATTTTAATTTAATTTAGAATATATATGTGTATGTGAGTGGTGGGGGAAGGGGGAGAATCAAATCTTTATCTATTCCAATTGGGGTATATATTTTTGGAGTGAGTATTAAATCAAAATCAATAGAGTTACTATTAATTAAGTAAATAATTAAAATGCATTCAAAAAAAAGTAAATAATTAAAATTATTGTGTTATTAATAACAATAACTACATGGACAACAGAATAGTATAATAATAATGATGATTGTGGGCAAGTATAATAATGATAACAACAACAGTTGTCATGAGATAAGAGAGGTTAAGAAAAGCACGAACTTAGTTCACTAGTTCAGTAAATAGTATTTGAGAAAAAAATCAAAGTTTGAATCTCGACAGTGACAGTACGTGTGGGGATTATGTTCAAAGTAGATAGATTCCTTGTGCACACAAGTATTTAGCCATGTTTATCGAGTCATGAGTCGGGGTGTGGGAAATCTTTAGGGTTTGGGATTCCACCTTTGAGAGAAGAAGTGAGATTAAGAAGCATATAATTTGTACCTATGTTGCCTGATTAATCAATTAAGATATTATTGCTATACAGGTCGGCCAACCCCGCAACCCCTTTGTATCAAACCATTATATATATTTTCAACAGAATAAATAAAAGAATTAGGGAGAAAATTTTATATTATATATAATACAAAACAAACTGCATATCATCATGGAATCCTGGAAATTAACAGGAGTTTAACACATACTATACCAACCTAGCTAGCTTACGTTTTTAATCAATTATGGTTGTGGAATTATTATTAATATTGTTGAGATCCAACCAAGTTGTCTGTTGACTCTTCCATTGCAGTCTAACAATTAATGAATGATACATGTGATTTTGTCAATATAATTTTCATGTGAAATATCTTAACATTATATTACTCGTTCTGGCTGTACAGCATCTTAGCTTCATAGTCATTAAGAATTTTAATTTTCAGGATGGTTGTTTGCAAGCTAAGATAATTAATTATGCCAACCCTGCTGTGTTTCTATAACCATTGTTCTATCTTTCATTAAAAAAAAAAAAAAAAAAAAAAAAAAAAAAAAAAAAAAAACTACTCATAAATTTGTGTGTATATATAGTCACTGATTTTAAAATAAAAATTAAATTAAAGAATCAATAGTCATCAACAAAGATACCGTGACAATGTACATTATTTGTGTATTGAAGGTACCTTCAGTACTCAAATAATGTACCTTCAAAAAATGAACATTTACTGTATTAAGCCGCCACGTCCTGTCACCTGGGCAAAGCTTCTAGATTTCCTTTAGATAGTTTTTTTTTTTTTTTTTCTAGCAAAAATGTGTTGGATCTATTGTATACTGACATTTGGGGACCTTCTCCTGTAATTTCTGCTAGTGGTTTTAGGTATTTCGTGCTTTTTGTAGACGATTATTCTCGTTTTTGCTGGTTTTATCCCTTACGGGTAAAATCAGACATATATAAAACTTTCGTGTCGTTTTGTGTCATGGTAGAACGCCAATTTTCGCGTTATATCAAGTCCATCCAATCGGATTTATGTGGGGAATATCACAAATTACATAACATATTTAATACGCTTGGTATCAATCACCGCCAGTCCTGTGCGTACACGCACGAACAAAATGGGAGGGTAGAACGCAAAAACCGACATATAGTTGAAACCGGGTTTGCCATACGTAAGCAGGTAACCTACTAAAATTGATGGTAACTTGCTATCAGGTGAAATTGCATACATTTGGAGTGTTCAGTGGCCTAATTGCACATTTTTTTTTTCGTTCAGTGACCTAATTGCATTTTCAAGTTACGTTTAGTGGCCAATTTGAAACTTATTCAATTTATTGTTGACTTGTTGTGACAGTTATATATAATCAATCTCTCATATATTATCTTGCATTTATATGCTTTAAATTACTTATTTAAATAAACAAATTCAACATTTATTTACCTATGCATGAACATCTTCTATATAATATTGCATTGATATACTTTGAAATACTTATTTAAAAAGAATCATTGGTATATATATATATATATATATATATATATATATATATATATATATATATATATATATATAGGGACGCACTCAGGTGCGAATAAGTGCCTAGGAAGGAAATGTGAACGAATCAGCGCGTGACACGTGTCCAGATCTAATAACTTAAAAAAAAAACGCGGTGGCATTTTCGTAAATAATTGAACATCGAAGTGCAAGTAAAATCTCTTATAAGTGCACCTATTTTCACCTATAAGTGCATGTAATTTTGCCTTGTTAGCATTCACTTTCCGCAACCATTCATGCACCTGGGTGTGCTTATAACTATATGTGCAACTATTTATAACTATAGGTGCAACTACTTATAACTATATGTGCACCTACTTTCACCTATAAGTGCATGTAATTTTGTCTTGTTAACATTCATTGATCTGAGTTCAGCGGGTAGTAATACTCCTGAAAACCACTCGCAAACATTCATACACCTAGATGCAACTACTTATACCTATGTGTGCAACTACTTAGAACTATAGGTGCAACTACTTAGAACTATAAGTGCAACTAAGTATTGATGCTCAGTGTAAATTTTTACTTGCACCTATAATACATTTTACATGCACTTGTAATACATTTTACTTGCACTTCGATGTTCAATTATTTACGAAAATGCCACCGCATTTTTTTAAAAAATCAGTGTTTCTCATCCATTAGATCTGGACACGTGGACGAACAGAATCCATTCCTATTTCGCGCCTGGGCGAGCCATTCGCACCCGAGTGCAACTCTATATATATATATATATATATATATATATATATATATATATATATATATATATATATATATATATATATATATAGGTCAATAGATAAATTATCGATTGTCAAGTTTTAGCTCTTCACAAACATTGAATAGTCAGGTAAACAAAATTTACTAGCGAAATAATCTAAACATTAAAAATATAAGCCAGAATTAACTAAAAATAAAATATGCCAAAATTAATCACACAGTAACATGACTAAATAGATTATTTTTTTTTCAACATGTTGAAAAATTGCACCACCTTAGAGTGCATTAGTATCTATTGTTTCTCACATCACATTTAGAATGCAGTGATTTGGTTAGATGGCAAACATGGTATAAGTATTACTACATTTCAATGTCAAATGCTCATCAAAACAAACCAAAATATACTTTTCACTCATCAGTTTGCAATGGATAATCTCAATGTATGATCCTCCTTGTGCCTCAAAAAACCACGACACCGAGAGATCGTTATTTACAGTATATAACAATCCCCACAATTTTTACTGAATAAGAGTGATGTGAGCAAAATATTTTTTTATTAATCAGAACTCAGATGGCTTGACATGTGTTTAAGGCAATTCTAATAGGATCTGACTGTCCAATCAACTTCTCTGATCTGCCAAAGTCTGGTACCAAAGCTAACATCCTAGCAGTAGACTATGAAGCTATTGATTTCAAATCCAATAATTGGTTTAACCCTTTGTGAATAAATCATTGACCTATGACTCAAAGTACTATTCAAGAGAATGGAGTGAAGATAAAGAGGCTTTGTACTGGAATGATTGAGAATACGGAGGAGAAGACAATAAAATGTCTTTACTTTGAAATGGCCTTTAGTTCAAAATATATAAGTCCACTAATGCCACATTCTCAAAATGTGATTGTCACTATTTGGTTGGCTTTGTTTAAAAAAAAATAATTTTCAATTGTATGAGTAATAGTCTCAAGAGTTTAATTTAATCTTACCATCTTACATTCTTACTATGAAATGGACATTTCCTACATATGAATTCAATAAATGGCCTCTTCTTTTGTGTTAATAACTACAAATTAACTCTTCTTATATGCTAGATAGTAGGATTTCATGCTTGGGTTCAAGGTGCAGTTTAGTTGTAAGTTACACCATTTTCTAGGTAGCAGGTCTTGGTTTGATCACATCACTGTCCCAACCAGATGTACCCAAAAAAAATAATAATAATAAACAAAGAATTGTATACATACTCATCATCATCAATATTCTGCTACTAGCTTTGAGAACTATCCACTGAATATGGAGTAACATCATAAACTGTGCTTATAATGCTCTGGTTCTTTATGGTAATGCAACAAAAGAGTGTTCAAGGTGAAGGAAGGGGAAAAGTAGTCGAAACATATTTGTCAGCTGTAACAATTTGTGCAAAAAACCTCCTAAGTTGCTACAGAACAGCAGTAGTACCTACTCATGCCTCGTTCTCTCCTGAATTAGTTTCAGAGCAGCAGTGACTACAGCATCCTGCCCAGCACTTTTTTGTTCCTGCTGCTCTCGCCACTGCTTCTCCAATACCAGCCTCTCCTTTTCCAATTGCAGCAGTGACTACAGCATCCTGCCCAGCACTTTTTTGTTCCTGCTGCTCTCGCCACTGCTTCTCCAATACCAGCCTCTCCTTTTCCAATTGCAGCCTCTCCTTTTCCAATTGTATATGCTCCTTTGAGTTTTTGACTAACTCTTCCAATATATTGGCAATTCTCCCACTATTAGTTTCAGGATCCTCTGCAATTCTCCTCTTCTTGGCGAGGTCAAACTCGCTGGCCCTGTCTTCTCCATCTGAAAATAGGGACCGTTTGTTTGAAGGTCCACCCTCATCTTTGTCCTGGATGCTATGAATTCTGGTAGCCACGAAGTCGGAAAATTCATCCAATCCAGTCGGTATGCCAACACCATCCTATATTGTATGATGTTAACAATAATAATAATTTCCAAAAAAAAAAAAAAAGACACAATAATAACAACAACAACAACAACAACAACAACAACAATAATAATAATAATAATAATAATAATAATAAGGAAGGTGGATAGCTGCCTCATATAGAGTGCAGCCCAGATTTGTAGCAATCTATCAAAGCATTTTATGTTTAGGGAGTTTTCTGCCAAGAGAATGATCCTATGCTGGGAAATGAGTTCTCTTGTTTTTCTGATTGATTTGAATAAAAGATAACACTGAATCATAGGAAAGGAGGAATAAGGAGGTCCACCTAATTTGGTGGTTATGAAGAACAGCAGCAGGTTGAGGGCTCTGTCATTGCAGAAAAAGGCCCTTTAGATACTGGGATGAAGAAGCAATCTAAAGCTCTAAGGGTGGAGGGATGTGGGTGATCCCATCCTGGGAGATGAGGCCTCATGTCTAAAAATGATTGGAAATTTGGGAAGCTTGAAGCATAGTGGCAGCTTGGGAGATTCTGAGATCAAAACTGCAGGTTAAAGCTGGGAGTGAAGAAGATAAATATGAGTCTATGGACCTCTGTCTTCTAAAGTATGGAATAAGGGAAATAGGACTTGCAGCTGCAATCAAAGCTTATAAAGTGTAGATTGTGGCTGCTGCTATGAGACTGATTCCAATCTGGAAGATGAAGTCTCAACTCTCAATATGGTTCAAAGATTGTGGCTGGAGTTGGAGGGATAAGGAGCTAGGTGGACTAGGTGAAATGGAACTTGCAGGTTGTTTGGTTGATGCAGATTTGCTGTTGTTTATGGATAATCTGGAAATTAAAAGGCATAGAGGAGGGGTGTTGGTTTGAAGCTGGAAATTTGAAGAAGATTTGCAGAAGTAGAAAGGAATAGCTACTGGTTATCCAAGGTTGCAACAACACCCTAAAGCTTCAAAGTGGAGGGGATTGTTGCCAAGTGGTTGATCGATCCCATGCTGGGAAGTGAGACTTCTTTTGGTTGCTTTGGAGTTAGATGCATTATTTTGGCCCTGTTGGGGTTGATGAAATCTGGGCAGAGGAAGATTCAGGGGTTGCATCTGGAAAATGAAAAATCAAGGCTGTTGAATGTCTTAAGTAGGGTCCATGAAGAATGGTGGACCCAAGGAGGTGGTAGTTTAATAATGATGTATCTTGGTGATAACAATTTATTCAAAAAAAAAAAAAAAAGCAATAATAATAACAACAACAACTTGCTAGGCTATAAGTGATACTCTTCCTACAACCAACAACTTGCTTATAAAGAGAGTAGATGTGAGCCCGGTATGTGCTATGTGTGGAGTTGGTAATGAAGATATAATGCATGCATTGACATTGTGACAACTAGAAGGCTCTCTTAATTCCCGCCTAGTGGCTTGGGCAATCTTCTTTCCCGAGATGCCAATAGTGTGACAACTAGAAGGCTCTCTTAATTCTGGGGCGTTTGTATGGCGTAGCTCCTCTTTACTCACCAAAAAAAAAAAATGCATGCATTGACATTGTGTGATTATACAAAATCCATTTGGGCTATATCCAACCTTCCACTCCCAAATTTAGTGACAAATATTTTTCATGAATGGTTTAGTGAATTATTGAATATTCTAGACTCTCATGGGATAATCTATGCAGCTGCAATATTATATCATATATGGAAGACACGGAATGGAGCAATGTGGGATGGTTGTCTACCACTGCCAAGAAAGGTGATATTAATGGCCAGGACCAACATGCAAGCGTGGCAAAGTGTACATGCCCGTACCCACCCATCCGAGGTACGGCCCACCCTCCGCCCGGTGGATCCACCGCCGCACCACACGGCTGTGGCAACACAGTTACACCAAGCAACGCCCTCGCCACAGCCTATTGCACCGTTGCCGACCAAGAGGTGTTACATCAATGCGGCGAATCACCATGAGGTGTTACATCAATGCGGCGAATCACCATGAATGCAGATGGGAGTTTCATCTCGGCTTACAGCACGCCCCTACCACATTGCTTCTCCCCGCTTGGCCGAGGCATATGCGTGTAAGGAAGCACTCTCGTGGTTATGTATACGTAATGAGTCAGCAGTCCATCTAGTCCATCTATTTACAGACGGACGGTCAGATTTTGCAAAAAAATTTGCAAAAAATATCTGACTGCAACGAGTACTCCACTCGGTCTTTCGTTGGATACGCTATTGATGAGTGTAAAGCTCACATGGCTTCCTTTTCATTATGTTTAGTTGATTTTATTCCTGCTCACATGGCTTCCTTTTCATTATGTTTATTTGATTTTATTCCTAGATCGCAGAATCATTTAGCTCATAGTTTAGTTTCTACGGTTTTTAATTATGATACCGCTATGTACTGGGATGATTCCCCTTTGACTCAATTGCAGTTTATCTATGAATATAAATCATTGGTTGACCTTAAAAACAACAACAACAACAACAACAACAATAATAATAATAATAATAATAATAATAATAATAATACCATATAATCGCTTATGATTGATTTCCACTTCTCTTTGCACTCCTCAGGTGTTCGCTCGTAGTTATTCACATTCTTCATGTTGTTTGAAATTGTTCCCCAAAGTAGAATATTTGGCACATTTGGGTCCAAGAAAACCGGGTCTATCCCAATCCGAAGACCTACCATATATTTGGTTTCTTCAACGTTCCACACTGCATTCGGTGTCGGCGTTAGGGGCGTCGGGGGCATTGGAAAGTTGGAAGCGCTCAGAAAGAAAGGCTTCAACTTGGGGGTTGGATGTCACCCCCAAGTACCCTGCTTCAACCTGCGGATTGGATGCTGCCACAATCGCCGCCGGCACACCACCACGTGCTGCGGCCTGCGCACCTGCCAGGCCACAATAGTAGGGGAGAGGAGTTGTCTGAGTAAGAAGAGGAGAATGGAGTCCGAGGAGAAAAGGGGAATGAGGAGCTGAAGTGGGTGGAGGTTGAAGAAGGGAGGAGCTGAAGTGGATGGAGGTTGAAGATGGGGAGTACTCTCCTTGCCCCGTCCCGGAATATAAGAACAAGGCAATTTTGGTTGTTGATTATGTTAGATCTCATGGTTATTATTTATTTTGATATATTTATTATTGACAGTTTTTGAAGAGTCAGGTAATTTTGATATACCATATCCCCCAAATTCAGGATCTTGGTGTTTAATCTGGGCCGTGCAAATTATTAATTTGATGGTGTGAGAGGATTTTCGATTTCCAACAGCTTCTTTTTCCGGTACGAGGTTGTATAAGAACCAGCGGCCCGACGGATTTGCCAGGTCCTGGTTGCATCCTTAAGAAAGTTGAGAGTTAAAAGTTCCAGGAAATGAGGGAATTCTGTATGAAACAAGAGTAGATGAAGAATCTGCTGTTAAAGAAAGTAGAAAACTTTATCGAGCAAGTATTAATTTTGGTACCACGAGTATTAACAAAATGACAATTTTGATTTACATGTTTATTTTTAATCAATTTTCATCTATAATTATTTTTTTAGTGTCAAAATTCATTACGCCGATCATCCATCGCTCTAAAACATACCGAAATCTAAATAAAATGTTTAAGAATATTTTTGTCATTTTCAAATTTAAATCCTAATTTGAGCATGAATAAAAGGGATTTAATCTCTAAGATCGATCTCAATTTGCAGTTCTCTTTCCCCTCCTACCTTAATTTGAGGAGGAGAACTACGAATTAGGATCAATCTTAGGACTTAAATCCATTTATTCATGCTTAAATTGGGATCGTGATTTGAAAAAGACAAAAATACTCTTAATAATTTTATATTTCAGCACGTCTTAAACGAATGGATGACCGCGTAATAAATTGACACTAAAACAATAGTTGTGGATGAAAATTAGTATTAAATTAATAGTTGTAGATGAAATAATGATATTATAATTTTCTTAAATTTATAAAATAAAATAAAAAGTAATTAACCAACTCTTGCCGCAAATTATGCTATGCAACCGAATGCACCATGCATATGGTGCATACGATGCAAAACGACGTCGTTTTGGTTAAAAAAACGCGCTTCCCACTTAAAAAAGAAATCAGGTTCGATTCCCGGCAATAGTATTTTTATATATCAATAAATTCATAACTATATATCCATAAATTCATAACTATATATCCACAGTAAATAAATGAAGTCGTTTTGGTTAAAAAACGCGCGTCCCACTTAAAAAAGAAATCAGGTTCGATTCCCGACAATAGCATTTTTATATATTCATAAATTCATAACTATATATCCACAAATTCATAACTATATATCCGCAGTAAATGAATGAACTAAATATCCACAATGAATGAACTAAATATCCAAAAATTCATAACTATATATCCAGAAATTCATAACTATATATCCATAAATTCATAACTATATATCCACAGTGAATGAATGAAGTATATATCTACAATGAATGAACTAAATATCCACAATGAATGAACTAAATATCCATAAATTCATAATTATATATCGAGAAATTCATAACTATATATCCACAATAATGTTATTGCCGAGAATCGAACCTGAATTTTTTTTTAAAGTGGGACGCGCGTTTTTAGTCAAAACGACATCATTTTACATCGTATACACCATGCGCATGGTGCATTCGGTTGCACAGCATAACTATTGAACTCTTGCACCCCCGGCCCATTGTGTATATAAACAAATTTCAGCTCTTCATAGCAATCGTTATGTTGTGCATCCGTATGCACCATGCATGGTGCATACGGATGCCAAAACGACGTCGTTTTATTAAAAAACGCGCGTCTCCCCTTTAAAAAAAAATCAGGTTCGATTCCCAGCAACAACATTATATTGTTCACTCATTCTGAAATTTTAATTCATAGATTATGGAATTATAGTTCATTGATTATGGAATTATAGTTCATCGATTATGGAATTGTAGTTCATCGATTCTGAAATTTTAGTTTATATATTATGGAATTTTAGTTCATTCATTCTGGAATTTTTAGTTCATAGATTAGATTATGGAATTATAGTTCATCGATTATGGAATTTTAGTTCATATGTTGTTACTGCGAATCGAACCTGATTTTTTTTTTAAGGGGAGACGCGCGTTTTATTAAAACGACATCGTTTTTGCATCCGTATACGGATGCACAGCATAATTTGCCTCTTCATAGTGCATTGTTAGAATTTCATGAGATCAGTTTATACAAACCATAAACAAATATAGGAAGGAAACTGCTCTATGATGGCATCGACAAGCAAGTTTCAACAAATACTAGATCCTCTTTTTTGCATAAAGGATATGTTCAAGGAACCATAGGCTTATTGAGAATATAAGTATGCGCGTAATTAAAAATGCCACCAAAAAATAAATACAAGAAAGAAAAACACACAAGAAAGGTTCACTAGAAAAGACCCCAGAGCCCTAGTTGATAACAAGAAAGCAAATTTCTCACTTCCTGACTTGATAAAGGCTTCAATGGAAGGCATCACATTCCTCCCCACCAGTATTTCCGCCAATCCGGCAATATTGATGACCACGGTACATTAAGTAATCTTCAAGAATGTCTAAATGTCTGGTCATCTGCATTACAAGATAATAAGAGGAAATTGCTCGGCCACTGCCACGCCACAAAAGTTTATAAAAGGGAACAATAATATCATTTATAGATCTGAAGACCTGTGAAATTATTAACACCCTTGAACCACGCTCCTTTAGTTTTGGAAGAAGCTTATCCAGAAGAACCATTTTGCCTGCAATAAATATAAGAAAGCAACAGCTTCAGCAATCAACTGTAAGATGAACAGTCTACCAAAAATCTATAATGCGTTAATTAATATCATTCTATGACAAACTTGAGATAGCAAAAACGCTGCACAGGCACAAGCTTGTTTGGCAAGGACAGAAATTTATTTTTCAATAGGTACAAAATCAACATAAAACTAAGAATTTTTTATGTGAATACTAAAGCTTATCATCTTAAAAAAATGAGTGAAAAAATAATCAAATGCTAGATTTAAAAAAAAAAAAAAAAAAAAAAGATTGATTCTCTCCTTGTTTCCTTTCCTTACTCTTTGTTGAACAAAGATGTGGATAACAGGATATCATTCCTTTGATGGGGCTAGGGAGGTTGGGGAAAGGGAGATTTTTATATAAACTTTGAAACTGAAACTTACTCTTCACATCCTGCCTTAACAAAGTCATCAGGAGAGTTCATCATTCTAAGGAATTGAGCAACAATGTCAACAACTTTAGGCTAGCAATAATTCATAGGTTATGAAAAAGAAAATTACCTGCTCCAAGGAATTGAGAAGAATGTCAACAATTTTTTTAAACTAAAGAGCACACTTTAAAATCATTTTTAAACTAAAGAATACTTGAAAATCATTTTTAAAATTAAAGAACAATTGAAAAACATTTTTAAAACTAAAAAACACTTGAAAATCAATTTTAAAACTAAAGAGCACACTTGAAAATCATTTTTAAAACTAAAAAGAGAACTTGAAAATCGTTTTTAAAACTCTAAAAAAAAAAAAAACAAAAAAAAAAAAAAAACTTGAAGATCATTTTTAAACTTAAGAACACACTTGAAAATCATTTTTAAACTAAAGAGCACACTTGAAAATAATTTTTTAAACTAAAAAAAAAACTTGAAAATCATTTTTAAAAAAGAATCTAGAAAAGCTGTGCTAAACTAGAGCACACTTGAAATCATTTTTAAAACAAAAAAAAATACTTGAAAATCATTTTTAAACAAGAGCACACTTGAAAATCATTTTTAAACTAAAGAGCACATTTGAAAATCATTTTTAAAACAAAAAGAGAATACTTGAAAATCATTTTTAAACAAGAACACACTTGAAAATCATTTTTAAACTAAAGAGCACACTTGAAAATAATTTTAAAAACTAAAAAGAAAACTTGAAATCATTTTCAAAAAAGAATACTAGAAAATCTGTGCAAAACTAGAGCACACTTAAAAATCATTTTTAAAAAGAATACTTGAAAATCATTTTTAAACAAGAGCACACTTGAAAATCATTTTTAAAATTAAAAAACACACTAGAAAATAATTTTAAAACAAAAAGAATACTTGAAAATCATTTTAAAACTTAAAAAAATACTTAAAAATCATTTTTAAAACTAAAAAGAATATTTGAGGTAGTGAACTTCCTTCTCAAACAGCTCACTTAAGTCATGCCTGCAAAACACATAGAAAGTAGCAGAAAATTAAAAGGTTTAGGTCCAAGTAGATAAACTAATCTAAAATAACATATCACAGGGAGGTGCTTACAACTGATGCATGCAAAGAATTCGAGGCTCTTTGGGTCTTGCATGACCATTCTGTCGCATTGTTTGCTTGAAATATTCCGACTCCGAGTAACAATTGACAAAGAGAAGGGTCAAAAATCATTCAACAAAAAGATAACTTTATTAGTCAGCTGGCAATTAGCATACTTGCGCTTTCTCTCTCTTCTTGGTGGCTCAATCCAATTTCACTGGCAATCTTTCTTCTTAAAATCAACCTTATTTTCATCATTCATCAGCAACAAGTAAATATCTGAAATGGCAGAGCATCAGAAAAAGAACCCCAAAAAGCAAAAGATCATAGACCAACTAACCTTTTCATCATCAAAGTCATAGATAAGCATACGGTCATCCATCTTAAACTTGATAGCAAAAATCTTCTGTAAACTTCTTCATCTTGGCATCAAGTTCAACTGTAGCTTCTTCTCCTTTAGCAATGATCCTATCTATATTCTCATTTGTGATTGTGCTATCCTTATCTATATTCTGAAAACCATCTCAGCACCAAACCTCACCATCTGCAGTAGCTCATCCTTATTTACAGCTGCAGTGAGTCAAGCCAAGGATCCAAATTAGTTATATTACAGATTATAGCTATATATCAAAAATGGCAAAACCATGAGAAACCTTACCTTTTTGCTCTGCCAGCCTTCCTTGCTGGATAAACAAAGCATCAAGTGCAAGCTTCTTATAAGCTCTTTCAATCACCTTTTTCCTCATAGTATACTGCTCATAGAATTATAATTTAAAAATATTTATTTATGTCCATGCTGAGTTAAAATATTAAAGATAAAACTGAACAAACCTCAGTGCAAAAACGGAACACTTGAACTTCCTTCTTCTGACCGATCATGAGCTTGCAAATCAACCTGTGAATTCCTGCAATGTTGGTGAACACAATACCACCGGATTATAAAACTAAGCATCCAGTGCCAGAAACATGAAATGTTGAATATCCTACCAATCACTGTCGTAAAACATCACAATATCGGCAGTTGCCACATTGATTCCGAGACCCCAGCCCTAGTTGATAACAAGAAAGCAAATTTCTCACTTCCTGACTTGTTAAAGGCTTCAATAGAAGCATCACGATCCTCCCCACCAGTATTTCCATCAATCCGGCAATATTGATGACCACGATACATTAAGTAGTCTTCAAGAATGTCTAAAAGTCTGGTCATCTGCATTACAAGATGAGAGAAAATTGCTCGGTCAATAAGACCTGTGAAATTATTAACACCCTTGAACCACGCTCCTTTAGTTTTGGAAGCAGCTTATCCAGAAGAACCATTTTGCCTACAATAAATAAAGGAAAGCAATAGCTTCAGCAATCACCTGTAAGATCAACAGTCTACACAAATATAGATACATTGAAACATTACCAGCATTCTCTATCAGATGCTCTCCCGTAGTATAAGGAGGTCCTGGTTCAGCACCTTGGAACATATATGGATGATTGCAGCATTTCCACAGTTGCATGGCTATATTTAGAAGACGCTTGTGCTCTCCACCAGAATTAACAACTTCTAGATCTTTTTGCAACAAAGCTTTATAAATATTGCTTCTGCATCTGGGACATACCAACCTTGAGGATAGTTTCCTTCTTGGGAGGAAGACCTTTCTCAACATCAGACTTCAGTCTCCTGAGAAGAAACGGTTGAAGGACCTTGTTTGGACAAGTCAAAACAAATTAGTAGACGGAACCAAAAATCTGTAATGCGTTAATTAATCTTTCTATGACAAACTTGAGATAGCAAATACCCTGTACAGGCACAAGCTTGTTTCGCAAGGAAAATCAGACATTAGAAGTACTTAATTACAAAAATTCTCCCCCTGATATAACCCAAAAAAAAAAAAAAAAAAAAAAAAAAAAAAAAAAAAAAAAAAGAAGAAGAAGAAGAAGAAGAAGTCATATTAAACCATGTGCCACATCCTACACAAAATACCTTGTGAAGCAGTAAAATAACACTTGAAAATCATTTTGAAAACTAAAAACAAAATACTTGAAAATCATTTTTAAACTAGAGAACACTTGAAAATCATTTTTAAAACTAAAAAGAATACTTGAAAATTATTTTTAAACTAGAGCGCACTTGAAAATCATTTTTTAAAACTAAAAAGAATACTTGAAAATCATTTTTAAACACTAGAGCACACTTGAAAATTATTTTTAAAACTTAAAAGAATACTTGAAAATCATTTTTAAACTAGAGCATACTCTTGAAAATCATTTTTAAAACTAAAGAGCACACTCAAAAATCATTTTTAAAACTAAAGAACACAATTGAAAATCATTTTTAAACTAAAGAACACAATTGAAAATCATTTTTAAACTAAGAGAACACTTGAAAATCATTTTTAAACTAAAGAGCACACACACTTGAAAATTATTTTTAAACTAGAGCACATTTGAAAATCATTTTTAAACTAAAGAGCACACTTGAAAATCATTTTTAAACTAAAGAGCACACTTGAAAATCATTTTTAAACTAAAGAGCACACTTGAAAATTATTTTTAAACTAAAGAGCACACTTGAAAATTATTTTTAAACTAAAGAGCACATTTGAAATCATATAAATATTAATAGTACTTAAACCAAATAAAAGGAAACCTGGTGTGATTTTAGTTCTTCGGCAAAAGCATCAATTTCAGGTTTTCTCATAATTCTCTCTAAAAGACCTGAAAAGTGAAAAATGCATATTATGGCTACCAAGATGATTTTTGTGCTCCACTGACATGCTGAATACATGAATATACCAGTATTACTTAAAGCAAATATTTCACTGGGATGAACAATTTGCATGTGTAGGAGGTAGAGTAGAATGCAGAATTTACGGATTCAAAACAAGCAGGACCATACCTATTACAAGATTGGATAAATTTTCAACTTTGAGCAGCGTTCATCCTGAGGATTGATAAAGAAAAAATTAGTCAAATTCCATAATGTTACAAAATAAATTCCATATACCAGTCAAAAATAATGTTCTTAGCACTCAATGCAGGGTTTCAAAAAATAGAATGCATGGATTCAAGTGACTGCATGAAGACTAGAAACACGCAGTTAGTAACACAAGTTAGGACCGAGTGCCACGGTCATGCATCATGAAGGATCTATGGAAGAAAATAGACACAACCTTGATTCAAGCTACAATATAAAGAAAGTTCCAAACAAAACTAAGGGTCTGTTTGGAAACCCAGAAAATGACTTCTGGAAAATGAGTCATTTTTCAAAAGTCATTTTCCTTTCCTGTGTTTGGCTGCACAATGGAAAACTGTCTTTTGGTGTTTGGTTCATTTTCCAGAAAATGATGGAAAATTATCTTTTGGTGTTTGATTCATTTTTCAGAAAATGAACAAAATGGCATACTAAAACATTTTAATTATTATATATCGAATATGACAATTTGAAATCACAATTACATGTTAGAAACAACATAATGCATAAATAATCAAGTCTTGAAAATTAAAATTCACAAATTAAGAAAAAGCATTTTATTATATAATCAATACAAAAAAATTAACAGAACATGATTTGACATAAAAAATCAAAAAAAAAAAATTGCATCTGGTTTTCCGCATCGAAAACCAGTGACTGCACTGGTTTCCGATTGAAAACCAGTGACTGCACTGGTTTCCCCAGCCGGAAACCAAACTGGTTTCCGGCTGGGGAAACCAGTGAAGAAGGTTGAAAAAAAAAATCGAAAAGGGGAAGTCATTTTTTGGGAGAAGAAGGTTTGAGCGTGTTTTGATTGGAAGATGGAAAATGACTTCCGCCAAAAAAAAAAAAAATAAAAAAAATAAGGGAAGTCATTTTCCGGATTTTAGCCCTCATTTTCCATTGACTAACTAGCATTTTCCTTTGACCATTTTATTTTCAACCTTCCCAAACACCACAAACCCGGAAAATGATTTCCAGAAGTCATTTTCTAGGTTTCCAAACAGACCATGAGTTCTAGTTTTAGCACAAGATTATTTGCCTACCTAACATATAAGAAACACAATGCTTTAGGAATACAGAAAATAAATACTTGAAAACCCTAAAAATCATTTTAAAAACTAAAAAGAATACTCTAAA